GGGGGGGGGGGGATGTCACACCTGATCCGAAAGTTCACAGGCAGAAAGGTAAGATTTCGGTGCTAGTTGGAACCGCAAATGCTTAATATGGTATCATATTTTCTTCTTTCTATTTTTCTCTGAGACGAAATCCATACATCCAGTACCAAACTCTACCCCAGTGGTATAAAAACGCTAGTCATAACAACAAATCGTACAAAACCAATCCCATTCTTAGTTATCGTTACTCCACTCCCAAGCCTCCTGAATAGCCTTCCAGTACTTCTCAGGATGCTCACGCATATGTCCAACATGGTTCGTCCCGTCGAAAAGCTCCTGTCTGGTCTCATAACCTCTCTGCTGCGACTCAGCAATGTATCCCTCGATATCCAAATGGGAAATAATCTCATCCTCCTTGCTGTACAAATACAGACGCTTAGAGTCCAGAGTCTCGTAGGTTGTGTCGTCGACTGTTCGGAGGGCAAAAGCACCGGAAGGCTCACTGCCGATCAACTTTTTGAAAATGACATCCAGTGTCAAAACAAAGCCCCAAATACCCTTGGTAACGACAAAAGGCCAGGGAAAGAACTTTGCGGTGCCGATAGCCATGGCATGAGACCACTTGCCCAATCTCTCCCACGACCAAAAGGGGTTTCCAGGCGTAGAATCCAAAACGAGCAACTGATGGGGCATAGTTCGACCCTCCTTATCCGCAAAAGCCTTGAGCGTGGTAGCATAGCTAATAGCACCAGTGTTGGACATGCTGTGCACAAGAATAGGCGCAGTCTTTTCATCAAGAAGACCGTTTAGGTTATCGATGACAACTTGCATGCCGCGCATTCGTGTCTCGAGACCTGTGAACATGGCATCTGAAATAGGGCTCAAGATGATGATTTGCTTGGAGTGGGGGAAGAGAGCGCGGTAGCCTTCTGCGTATTTTCCGACATGGCGAGCTTGACCGTCGCCCCAGCCGTAGATGAGAATAGCTGCTGGATGGTTGTCGGGTGTTTTTTCGACAATGTCCTCGCTGACGAGGATGTTGGCGTTGAAGGCCTTGAAGCCAGGTAGTTGAGGAAGTTTTTTGCCCGACATTTTGATTTCCTTTAAAACTCTTCAACGATAATAAATGAATGAAATTGTTAAAGTGGAAGGGAGTAAGCACTCTTTATAAATAAAAAGGATCGACTAGTGTTCAAAAACTCATCCGGGCTGTCCGATGGAATAGTCTAATGCATAGGAGATTGTAGATTGTTGGGGACGTGTTCGAAAAGTCCGTCGGATGTTTTTTTGCAAGGATTCCGGAGTAATTGCTAGATCGGGCCACAGATGCGCTCTCACCAAAAAAGTTTATCTGGAGAAGAATAACCCAACAATATGGATATGCCGAGGTTCACGAGATTATCAGGAGATCCAAGATCGATTTTATGAGACGGAATACGACGTTGGGTTTAAGTGGTTTTAAAAGTCTGTTTTGACGTCGGATCATGAGGGTCCACAAGTACGGACATTCATGGGTTCGGTGAGGCGAGGTGGGTTAGGTGAGATTTGCGGTCAGGATTAGGCTCAATTGAATCTGATAAGTATTTCGCAAATCGGCTTATCTGATTCGATGGTTTATAAAGTCCGGTGTCTTACTCAGATAATTGCTTACTATGGCGACCACTACGACGTCATCCGCCAACGGACTTTATAATTTAGCATCTTTTAGTCTTCAACCTTGTTCTTCAGACTAGTGATCCTGTGGAATTACGAATCATTCTCCATTAGAGTTGGTGTGTACGATGAATCATCATGCTCAAGTCTAGCTGAGAGCAATATCATGGAATATAATCTCGAGATTGACTTGACATTATTGATTCAGGGATTCCAAGTCCGCAGCGCTGAGTACAACGTAACTATCCTCAGACGCTCACTTATATCGTCAAAATCAAACACTTTTGAAAGGTAGGGTTGGACTTCAGATGGCTTTGGCGTTTGGATGAGAACGAAGAGAATCATAAAGGTAAACATTCACATTAACCAGAAGTCGTTTCAAGAGGGACATTCTTTTGAAGACACAAGCAACTTTTCTTTATCTTTCCGTACTGCAGCCGCAGCAATCTATCAAACGCTTCTAATTCAACATACCCTTAAGAACCTCAATCTGCTCCAAAACACCAGCTCGGCTAGTACCACCCTGAGCATTCCTCGACTCAACACTAGCCTCATAGTTGAAAACATCCTTGATGCTATCCGGGAATCGGCTATCAATAGCCTGCAGCTGCTCCAAGCTCAACTGATCCATAGGGATTCCCAGCTCCTCGCTCTTGGCAACCACACGTCCTGAAATATGGTGTGTCTCACGGAATGGCACGCCGAGTCGCACGAGCACGTCTGCGATGTCGGTTGCAAGCAGGAAGGGGTTGAGAGAGGCGATCATGCGCTCGGGTCGGAGCTTGAGGGTGCTGAGGATGCCGTTGAGGATTTGCACGCTGTCGGAGACGGTCTTGACGTGATCGAGCATGGGCTCCCAAGACTCTTGCAAGTCCTTGTTGTATGTGCTGGGAATACCCTTGGTAGCGCTCCAAACACTGGCGAAGTGACCGAAGGATCGGCCGGCCTTACCTCGCAGAAGTTCGAGGCCATCAGGGTTCTTTTTCTGGGGCATCAATGATGAGCCTGTTGAGTAGGCGTCTGAAACTTGAACATAGCCGAACTCAGCGGTTGAGTAGATAATCAAATCCTCGCTCATCCTTGAGACGTGGTTCATGAACATGGTACCCCAAGAAAGGAACTCAGTGACAAAGTCACGGTCAGCAACAGCGTTCATGCTGTTCCACATAATGCCCTCAAATCCAAGCTCCTTGGCCATCATCTGACGATCAATACCAAAGGCATTTCCGGCAAGAGCACCAGCACCGAGAGGGCTATTACCATATTAGCAAGACGTACAAGATTATCGGTGGATGTGCTTACCTCTTGTTGACCCGCTTCAAGACCTCCCTCAAACGTTCTAAATCGGAGGCAAAGGAAAAGCCATATGACAGGAGCCATTGCGAGAACTTGACAGGCATGGCAAGTTGTAGGTGGGTGTATCCAGGCATGATATGGTCGCTATGAACATTAGAAAAGCTCATCTCAAGTGATGTGAAACTTACATCTCAGCCTCAGAACGAGCAGCAATGACTTGAAGGAAAGCAACGAGATGGCTCTCAATCTCACGAATGCGCTCGCGCAACCACATTCGCATGTCGGTAACAACCTGCTCGTTTCGGCTACGACCAGTGTGAAGTTTTCCACCAATCTCCTTACCAATGATCTCAGACAATCGTCGCTCATTCGCGGTGTGAATCTAACCCAATCAGTCACCACAAATACCACGAGATGGTGAATGCCTTACATCTTCATCATTGGGCATGATAGCAAAAGTACCAGCCTCCCACTCCTTCATCACCTCCTTCAGACCACGCTCAATCTCAGTGAACTCATCATTAGAGATGATGCCCGACTTGGCATTAGCGCGAGCAAAGGCGATACTACCAAGAATATCCTCCTTGTACAGATACTTGTCGTAACCAATACTGGCATTGTACTGGTGCATCAGGGGATCGATGCCGCCTGTGGTTCGTGACGTCAGTTTGGGAGCTTCATGGCGGGGTTGTTATACATTACCTGTGAAGCGACCACCCCAAAGCATACCCTCGGCGGGAGCACTAGTATTGTTTGAGGCCATGATGGATATGGTGCTTGTGTAGTAATCGAATTGATTCTGTTTAAACGAGTTTGGTGTGATCAATTGGTGCTTTATCTATCGCGATGGCGGGGTCCTGGGTAGAGTCACGAAAAATTTGGCGGACCGACACCGGCCCCTCTGAGTCACGTGCTCTTAGCCGCTTGTACCCATCTTCAATACCGGACTTCCTTTTGGTCTTGAGGACGAATTCTGGCCGTTGTGGTGTAAGTCTTGCGGTATAATATTGAATTGGTTCCGAAAGAAAGATGTATTGGTTTATTTCAACGGGCTTTGATAGTTTGAAGATGAAGTGAAGCTGTCATGAGGCTCAACAAGGGTGGTACCTAGCGCATTACTATGCGATTTTAGGAAGGACCCTTATGAGCCTTACAGGGCTTTGGCGACCGTGGGGTTTTAATGGGTGGTATCTTTGATTGGCTGTCTCGACGCTGGAGACCTCAAGTCCTCCGTGGATCCATATCATCACCCAAAACTCAGCGAATGAATATCTGACTCAACAGCTGGATGGAACAAGAGATGGCGCATGTTCAGAGAAAGCTTATTGTAGAAGGCTTTGTTAAATATAAAGATGTTCAGTCACTAATTGAATGAAATTGGTCTTTCGTGAGTTCTCGAACAGGTATGTAAATCTTTTTTCCGAGGTTGAAACTATCAAATATCGGAAAGGTGATGTCCGAAAAGCCAACACCAAGCGACGCTCCTACTAAGCTAACTTTCCTGCACGCTCTAACCGCATACAACAGTCCAGAAGATAAAAATTAAAGATAGTACTAGCATCTGTCAAGTTCAATCCAAAATACGCCGTTAGATATATCAGCTTCGTCTAGCACACCGGCCGATGCACAGAAGATTTTGCCTTGAATCTCATCTGGGTCAGGTCAAATTCCCGGCATCTGACAGCTGAAATATCTACATTTATCCTGAACTGAATGCCCTGAATTCCCCAGAATTTGTCTGAAAATAATCAGAAAGGGTTTCGTCTTCTTCTAAGCCTAGGGTTGACTATCTGGTTAGTACTCAACTGTGACACCATAAAACAATAAAATACATACAAGCAGCCCTGCGAAGGTAATGCTGCTGCCAGAGGGCAATGATGGCCACAATTAGTTGAAGGACGCCGAATATGATGGCGACAACAACTTCGGACGATGCAGCTACTTCAGTCATAACGTACAATCTGAGAAGGTTTACTTGGAGGTTGCTGTATGATTTTGAATTGAATTTTAAAATTGAGAATAAACTGGATTGCTGAAAAGACGAAGAATCTGAGGAACTGTCTCAGCAGGCGACAGTGATGGCTGTTCGGATCATGAAGCGTGGCTCCGACGCGTTGATGGGTTAGGCGCAATGTGATTGGTGATCTTCAGGATTACTTGCAGCCAATAAATGGTATCATTGGTGAGGCAGAATAAGCAGTTTTGAGGGATGAGTTGTTCAACTATCAGGCTGAGCCCATTTCCTTTTTAAATGTGACCTGGTGTTGTAGTTTTGCAAATGCAACAGGCCACGATGACTTTCATCTTGGGCTTCACTACAAAACTACTATTTTTCCGTAGAAAACCTACGTGCTGCACCCTGGTAACAGATCCTGGCAGCCAGGTTTAGAAATTGTAGTTTTGACTGTCCAATGGCAGCTGAGGGGAAACTTCTCACCGCTGAGCGGTTGGTTGGCTGCAATGGTCAGGGATCTGGTGAGGTGGCGTTCGTGCATGCATTAAGAAATAGTAGTTTTGTTCCCCCCCTTTTTTCCCTTATGTTTGTTGTTGAATAGTAGTTTTGCGAATCGTGACAGGAAAGTTGTCTGCCTTACTGCCTTACCCAGGGGGGCCAACAACAGGACTTTCGAGTATAATAACTGTCGCTTTTCCATCCAAACATTTCCCTTACACTTTTCTTTACCTTTAGCTAAGCTTGTGTATTTGGCCTCCCAATTGAGTCTGTCAACATGGACAATTGGACCACGTTTCCGGACCTGTTTGAACAGTTCCTGACTGATCAGCAATCACCCGCGTACCCTTTCGGGCACCCTCTATCTCACGAGTTTGTTCGGGGCAATGAATTAGCCTCGCACGATTCTATCTCTGCTCAACAAGCAACAAATCTATTCGAGCCGCTCAACCCCCTGAGCTTTGCTAAAGAGCATCTCGTCCCTGTGCCGCAGAATACGGGGATAGTTTCTACAAATGATGCTGAGCTGACAGCTGCTGCCATGGGTCCGCCTCCAAAAGGTCGGAAGAAGAAGGCTCCAACATTACGTGCCAAGGATTGGGAGCCATATAAAGCCCGAATTCTTGAACTCCACGATGCACAGGAGCTTCCCCTTGCAAAGGTCAAGGAGATGATTGAAGAAGAATTTGGTTTCAGTGCAGAGTATGAGATTGCCATAGCATTATTTCAGACTGAACATTAACTGACTATTTTCAAGACTGAGACAGTACCGAACCCGTATAACCCAATGGGGCAAAGACAAGAACATCAAACCAGCAGAAATGACAGCAATCGTCAGAAAACGACAGCAACGGAGGCTCGTCGATGTTGATAAAGGGGAGCAGATCTTCTCCATCAGGGGCAGGAATGTCGAACCTCACAAGATCGACAGGTGGATGGTCAGACATGAGGTCTCACAAACCTCTTTGTATGCACCTAGCCCTGTAGCATGTAAGGCAGCTTTTCACGTCTTATACAAAAGTGTTTGGGTTTGAATACTGACTTGTGACTTATAGCCACCCCATCTGCAATCATCTGCCGTACCATCTCTGAGCGTGGCTCAGTGGCTCCCAGTCCTGTGTATTCAACAAGAAGTCTAGGCTTCTCACCACGCACTAGATCGACAATTCCAAGTCCCACAACCTATTCTCCCCTCGCCTTCATGCCTGGTATGGGACACCCTCAGAGCAGTGCTTTTGATATACAAGAGCACGCCTATATCTATCAGCCCGCCATCCCTTTGGTGGATCATTCGTCTGCCTCGAACGTCATTCCTCTTGACCAGCCGCCTCGTCGTTATAAACAAGTTGAGGAAGAAGGTGTCAGAGAAGCACTGTCTGTAGCAGAGAATTCATTTGGGGCTTATCATTCTCAGACACTAGAACTAAGAATCAAACTAGGGGGTATACTAGTTGAACAAGGAAGATACAAGCATGCAGAAGAAACAGCTCGGAAAACCGTGGAAGATTGTGAGAATAACGAGAACGCCCTCATCATCAAGTTCAATGCATTGCAACTTCTTAGCGAGGTTTTACACGTGCAAGGATCTTGCCATCAAGCTCAAAAGTTGCAAGAGTCGCTGTTGGAGTGGGGGAAGATCAACTTGGGAGAGGGATGTCTATCTGTATTGCGCTGCATGATAGAATTATCGTGGAACTATGTCAACCATGGGAATACCGAGGAAAGTGAAGAACTTGGTGCGCAAGCGCTGAAGATAAGCAAGGAGATATTTGGAGAGTCGCATCACAAAACGATGTATGCGATGTATACATTGGTCTCTACATACATCAAACAAGGCCGACTGAACGAGGCTGGAGGGCTCGGGCTACAATTGCTGACGAAGACCATGACGATTCTAGGAGACAGACATCCTTTTACTATCGGTTGCATGTCTAGTTTCGCGCTTGTATATAGCAAACAAGGTCGGTCGAATGAGGCTGGGGAGCTACTGAGGCAAGCATTGAAGATGTCGATGCATTTATTTGGGGAAGATCATCCAGCGACAATCAACAATCGGTACGAGCTATCAGAGCATTATAAGACTCAAGGACGGCTGGAAGAGGCTAAAGATTTGGGAGAACAAGCGTTGACGGCGGCGCAGAGAGTACTCGGTAATCAACACCCCCGAACCATCATGTGTATGGCTCTCTTGGTAAAGATATACAAAGATCAGGGACAGATAGCAAAAGCTGAAGAGCTTGAGCAACAGAAGCAGGAGTTGGAGAGGCGGATGTTGGAAAGGCAGAAGGAGGATGTGGGTTTGCACTTTTCCTTTTCTAATGTGATTCAGACTAGCGGATTTTGAGAAAAAGAAAAGCAGGAGAAGGATGTCCTACATAAATAGTATAGAAAATATCTAGAGAATGAAGCCTGGCTTCTCATCAATTCTTGGTGTCGGATTTACAAATAAGGTAACATTTCGCTACCAGGAATGCGTATGCCCGTAATAGTCTCGATGTTCAGAAAGCCCTACCCGACACTTCTATCGACGCCTCCCGCTGAGAGACAGGCAGCTGAGGCATGTAATGTAGTTGGTGAGTTTATCGGGTTCAAGGTGCGGGAAATAGCCAAGCAAACTCCCGGCTAAAGTGATGGAAGGCTAATTCAGTAATATTGTCGCACATCAAAATAAAAAACCACACCGTTTGACAGGCAATAAATCCACGACATTACGTAGGGCTGCTGCGGGTGCATAGCCGCTTGACCATTTATTCCGGTTAGGGGAGTTAGGAATTGTCGATTGACTGAGATGCAACCAGGAGAATGAGACAAGCCCAGCCCATTCCATCAGCATCAGCCAATCTTAGTTGAGTGGAGCCACTTCTGTTTTGGCATGGACCTGGACCTGGACCAAGACTTGGCCTGACTTGATGGGTGATGGCCTGGGCGATGGCCTGGGATGGGATGGCCCGGAGAGCCGCCTCCACCTTCTGCATCTCATCTCATCTCCATCCATTCCAAATCAAACCAAACCAAACCGAGCATGGACATGGACATTTAGCCTCCATCATCTTCAATCATTCATTTCTCCAGCGAGTCCATTCTTTGTTGTTTTGGACTACATCGCATCGCATCCAACCACTTTCCCGTACAAAATCTGTTTCAAATCTTCAGAACCTGTACTTCTATCGAATCAATCTCTCAACTCTTCCCTGCTGTATTGCGACGCACGCCATATCCGCCCCTCCTAGTCTTGTGTCGTGTTGCGCGTCCTGTTGTGACACTCGGCTGTCCTCCCGCTCAACATTTTAATCCGCCAAACTTGCGCCATCCGCATTTCGTCTTTGTTGACCGCTGCAACGCCCTTGATCGCCATACCACCCGCTTCTGATCCTGATCTTCTCCTCGCTTGAACGAGGAACTGCTACATCAACAGGGGCCCGAGGCCTCGCAGTCCCAATGTCGAATAAGAATGAAGCCTTGCCCTCCATGGATCCCTTCTCTCCTGCACATCAACCCGACGAGGGTTATTCCGAGGACCCTTTAACGCCCACCGTCAATCAAGAACTCTCGACCGCCCTCGCTACTCTTCGTTCTCCATCCGATTTAAGCACATGGCTTGTCGCGAACTCGTCTCTTCTACCCCTCCAGGTCAGGACAGGTACGTGATGCTGATTGAAACTCTAGCCTTGACTTGCTGACACGTTTGAAGAGTTGACCATGGCCCTGCTCGATAATCTGCCTACATCCGTCATCGCCGAGATCGTTCACCGTTTGAACCCGCGACTCTACATTGACTTTATCCAATACCTCCCTGCGGAAATCTGTCTCAAGATTTTAGGCTTCCTCGATCCCGTCTCCCTCGTTAGCGTCACGCAAACATGTCGCGCTTGGTACGAATTGGCTTTGGATAGGAAGTTATGGGAGCATCTATACTACATGGAGGGATGGAAGACCATCACGAGCGAGATCGAAGCCTGCGAAACTAAGGTCAACAATGGCCTTGATCATTCCGTCCGCCTTCTCAACCGATTGCAATCGACGCAAGATGCTCATCCTAACAAGATCCGCGCTGTTAATACCGACGAAGACCTCGAAATGACCGATCGCGACCGTACACCTGGTCCCAGTGAGGGTTTGACCGGTGGAAGCATGTTTGGCAGCCCTTCGTCCTCTTTCTCGTCAAGCCGACCTGCCATCGTACCTATGGGCGAGATGGATCTTGATGGTTCTAGAACAGCGAGTCTCGACCGAACCATGTCTTCATCTTCCGAGGGCAGAGGAAAGCGCAAGGAACCGAGCGGCGATCCCGAGTCATCCGTACCTCCAATGTCGCTCGCCGATGCAGCCAACACCATGCCCCCGTCACCACTTTACATTTGGGATGTCGGCCGATCACGATATCGCATCAACTGGCGGTATCTATATGCCATGCGACGCAAGTTGGAAGCGAACTGGGAGCTTGGAAAATACAGCACCTTTCAATTCCCACACCCCAACTTTCTTGAGGAGGGACATCAGGAATGTGTCTACGCATTGCAATTCGAGAAGGATTATTTGGTGAGCGGCAGCAGAGATCAGACCATGCGCATTTGGAACGTGCATACCCGTCGACTTGTTCGAGCTCCACTCACTGGACACATGGGCTCCGTTCTGTGTCTGCAATTTGACGCCGACCCAGAAGAGGATTTGCTTGTCTCTGGAAGTAGTGACTCTAACGTTTTCATCTGGAAGTTCTCCACAGGAGAGCTGGTGCAGAGGCTGACAAGAGCTCACCATGAATCAGTGCTCAACGTGCGATTTGACAAACGCATTTTAGTTACATCTTCCAAGGACAAAACGATCAAGATCTTTAACCGACGTCCTTTGAGACATGGCGATCTCGGATACCCTGGAGGCGATGTCGTTGGCCCGGTCCCAACCAACCTGCGAAGATACGGTTACGAACCAGACTTGAGTCAGGAACTTGCCGTCAAGCCACCATTTACCATGATCGGCCGTCTGGATGGACACAGCGCTGCTGTGAATGCAATCCAAGTTCGCGACCGCACTATCGTCTCTGTCTCTGGTGATAGGCACATCAAGGTTTGGAAGTGGCCAGAGCAGGTCTGCACTCAAACGATACCCGCACACGACAAGGGAATTGCGTGCGTTGAGTTTGATGGACGCAGAATTGTGAGCGGCAGCAGTGACTGGGAAGTATGCATTTTTGATGCCCCTACCGGCCTTAAGGTTGCCCAGTTGCGCGGACACAACCATCTGGTTCGTACTGTTCAGGCTGGTTTCGGCGATCTACCATACAGCACAGCAGAAGATGAGCTCGAAGCCAAGGCCGTGGATGCTGAGTACTTCCGGGCTCTGGAGGCTGGCGAGATCGACCATAGCATGGATCGAAGACGTCGCAGAGACCGTCGTGCCAATGCTGGTAGCTCACGACCTGAGGATGTGCAGGCATTCGGTGCCAAGGTGCCTCCTGGCGGTGGTGGAGGCAGAAAGTACGGCCGTATAGTATCTGGCTCCTACGATCAGAGCATCATCATCTGGAGACGCGATAAGGAAGGCGTTTGGAAGCCTGCAATTCATCTTCGACAGGAGGAGGCTGCTGCTGCTGCTCAACGTGAAGCTGCTGCGGCATTGTCGAGCGCAACATCGAACGTCGCAATGGCTGGATCATTGGCTAGCAGATCTTCGCATTCATCTACCATCGTTCCACGCTCTCCACCTACAACTGGCACACCACTTGGACCCATGATGCTACGCGACCACCATGGCGACTCGCAACGAACATCGACTTCATACCAAGCGCTCATCGACCAAACCGTACCGCTCGGACCAAATGCGCTTCAGCAGGCACTTGCGCAATACCCGATCGCGCTGGCTCACCACTCATACTTGCAATCCGCCATCGAGAAGGAGACTTCGCCTTTGATTCGAGCACAGCTTAGAGGGGTAGTTACGGACGCTCTGGCTGCTCTTCAGATTCGACAGGCACCTTTGCGGCACCAGTCGAGCTCGGTCGGTTCCAGCGATAGCAACCGAACGAACCCGAGGTCCAGTATCGGCGTGCCTCTACCTGGTGCTATACCTGCGCCGGCTCATGCGGCAGGTGGAGTTCCAGCTGCGCAAACACCGGCCGCAAATAATGCCCAAGGTGCACCACCTGGGCAGCCAGGCCAACCAGCGGCGGTTGCTCATCACCCTGGTCAACATCCCCATATCGCAGCGGCAGAGAACACATCTGCACGAGTCTTCAAGCTTCAATTCGATGCGCACAAGATTATTTGCTGCAGCCAAACTCCAACAATTGTCGGATGGGATTTCTGTAATAAAGACCCAGCATTGGAAGAAGCTGTCAGGTTCTTCGCAACGGTGGACTAGATTGCAAGGCACGTTTCAACGAAAGCATTATTTTGAGCGAGGGAGTTGGCGGGTTGCATGGATATAATCGAGATTGGGATTGTATGTATCAAGTAGTTCGAGAAGGGCCGTCTCAGTACAATTCTTAATGAAGAGGGTACATATTCGCAGGAGGGTGTTCTAAATGACAGACTCATTTCAAGCGATAATAGTGGTATTTAAAAGTGGTGAAATATGCTTGAGACCCTACTACCCTTCCGACCAACGCCATAACTCAGAAAATTCGTGACAGTTCACAACATTGTAGTCAGCTACTCCCATTAACCAGCAACCTGCTTCACCTTGTCCTCAGTCTGAGGCGGCTCGTCAACAAATTCCGGCATGACCTCATCCTGCAAGAAACCCGGCACAGCACCACCCATCTCATGCTCCATCTCAACCTCCATCCCCAGCGCCTCAAGCTCAGCATCCAACTCATCCTCCTCAACATCATCAGGAATATCATAACTCCTCGCAAGACTCTCCTGAATCTCATTCCCCACATCCATCAAATCCGCCATCTCATCCTGCAGCCGCTCAATCTTATCGATATCAATTTTGCCATACTGCTTCTTGAGTTCCTTGTTGGTAGTCTTCATAGCGTCGACCTGCGTCATTACATTCTTGAGGTTGTCCTGCATGTTGCTCGCCTGTTCCATGTTCCACACTTGAGACTCTAGTTTGTCTTTTTCGGCTTCGTAGGCTTTGCGGCGCTGGAGCACTTTGAGGGCTTTTTGCTTCATAGCTTGTTTGCCGGGGCCGTCGCGCATGCGGGACAGCTTTTCTTGGTAGGCGCCTAGTTCGGCGTTTAGGGCTTTGAGTTTGGTGTCGAGGGAGGAGATGCGGGTGTCGAGGTTTGTTATGGCGCCGTTGAGGGTGGGTTTGGGGCCCGTGGGCTTGGAGCCGAAGAGGCGATTCATTTTGGCGATGTTTCGGGTGCGCTGGAGGTTTGTGTGTGTTTCGGGAGAGAGATGCGCTGAGGAGAGGATGTTGGAGGCGGTGGTTGTTATGGAAAGGTTGAGGTTGAATGTGGTAGCCTGAGGGATGACGTTCGCTGGCACGCGGCTCGGGATAAGGGTGGCGGGGCTAGTGTGGCTCCCCACCTGGGGAACTGAGACTCTGACTTAGCAAGACCAAAGTGGCTACCCTGTAGCAACATGCTTTCGGGGTTTTTGATCCGAGAATGAAGTTTATCGACAGTTTAAACATTAATGAGACGATGAGACAAAAATAAATATAGCATCTGCTCTTCCTGTTCTAACGGCAAGACCAAAGTATATTCCCATGATCGCGAGCTCTCTCAAATCTCAACTCGTCAGGTGTATAAAGTGCATTAGCCACTCAAGTGTGCCCACGATCAATATGCATTCTACTCACAACACAGCATTATGCAATACAAAAGTTTCCTTCTTGAATAACGAAACATTTTAAAATCAAGACATATTTATTGTACTTCGTAGCTGGTTGTTGCTGAGAGTTAAAGATGTGTTCATTGCCCATCATCATTATCCAAGTTCTAGTCCAGATCCTGGAGGCTCGTATGAAAGTGCATTCGTAATAAGAGTTCAGTGGCTAATGCGACTCTACTCAAGCGTTTGGAAGGTCCAGTTTTCCAAGGCGTACAGTTCAAATCAACACATGGACTCGTACCTATACCAGACTTCCACTATTGAAATCTGACTTCACTAACAAGTCGAAATTGATCATGACCTTGAAGAAAGACTTATCTTGGCCTTGCAGTCAAAAGAGAAAGGGAATTCATTCGCAGCTGACTTGACTTCCAATTTGCACCCTCTACGGCTTCTTGGGCTTGCTGTTGCTCGGCGCTTTCCCTTTTTGGGTCCAAAGTAAACAAAGATTGGGTTCCACGATTGAGAGACGAGACCCTGACCTGGTCTAGCATAACCGCTGCCCGCTCGTTCCCGTTCGTAGTTCAGGGCATTGATCACGGCTGGCGAAACTCATTTTTAAACATTCGGGAAGAACATGTGGCTGTTTCGAGTAGAGGAACTGTCCCTCCCACCATGAGACATAAATAGATCAATGCTAAAGTGTTGTCCGAGAAGGGCAGGGCACTAGAACAATGCTACGTCAAGGTGTTCGGTGTCATTAAGCGCAACCGATTGGTCTGAGGCTCTATCATTGTCCAAGTCTCAGACTCTCTGCAAACGTCGGCTAGATAGCCACCATTTAATCCAGTCAAGCTTGGTCATGTTCTATTGTTCTTGAAATTGTGCTGGATAATATAGGAGGCACAATGAATAAACAGACCAGTGTCAATAACAATTACAATAAAATCAGCTTCATTTTAGTTATGGGCCCTTATTCACACCCATGTACTTGGCGTCCCTCGCATTATTGGCTCAGAAAGCCTCAAGTATTGCAATACGCGTGACTACGCGAAGGAAACCCTTCACGCGAACGGTCTTATTCACGTAATGATCTAAATGATCCTAAAACCATCGCGTATTGCAGATTTATGAATCCCATGTGTTAAGAAGAACCGGTAGTCACGTGGTTTTTACCCATAACGCGTTTAGCGCTAGCGCGCGCCGCCATCGTCTGCAGCCGGCTGCCACTGTCAGTGCCAGTGCAAGGTGGGGCCACATTCACATCGTTCCCGTTTCGCAAAACAAAACAAACTCTCAACTCTCCCGTCTTTGCGCAATGCTCGATCTCTGACCTCACAACACTCGATTTCTTCCCGTGATCTCGCAAAAGCCTCCTTTTGCAAAGCACCAGCTCCCACAACTTTTTTTTTTCTTTACTCATCACCAACAATCTTCAACACTGCGGCCGTTGCTCCCGCTTTTGTTTACTTTCTGCTCGTCCGCGCTACATCTTCGCGATGGCAGCGTCTTGGGCGTTTGGGCAACAGCCCATGGGGATGTGAGTTTTGCTTCCTGTGTCTTCTCTCTTCTCTGCAGCATGCTAATATAAATTCTTTACAGCAAGCCCGTCCCCCTCGACTTTATCCCCTTCTTCTCGACGACCAACGGCACACGTGTCGACGCTGATAAAATGTACGCCTTTGCAAAACCGTTGCACGCCAACGAATCGAAACTAACGATGCGATAGTGACCTCAGCTTCTCTCTCGGTGCTGCCTCCACCATGGCCCTGACCCGGCCCGCTGCCTGGGATCGTGTTTTGACACTTTCCCATAAAGCGGCCGGTAAGGGTCGGCAAATCATGAAGAGGGTCGCTCTCTACGACCGAAAGGCTCAGCCTTTCATGATCCGCCCCGAGGTCAATTTTACCATGCCGAACACACGTGAGGCCGTTGCGTCCGATCAACTCGTGTCGCGCAAGGTTAGAAGAGGAGCCAATTACCAGCCAATCTCTAGAGAAGTGGCGTTCTCAGGCAGCTCACTCAGCCATGCGTTTATGCTTCAGGGACTTGTCCAGGCGACCGGTAAGTTGCCTCCATGGTCCTTTCAAGCTGACTTTCCACTAACCTGTCAAACTAGCCAACGTCGCCAACAACTACATGAACACCTCTTCATGTACCTCTTACGAGGATCGGCGCGCCGCTCGCCGGGGTATCTGCCAGATCACCCCCCTCAAGCGCCGCGCCGATGTTGCTCTTGGCGGTCAGCCGGACGTCCCTTTGATGATCACTCCGACCGGGGGTAATAAGCTCGGGTTTTACTATAAGGTTCTACCCATCATCAAGAAGGCATACTCCAAGGGCAAGAAGGAGGTAGACGTTGCTACCGCTTCGATGGTCGGCTTTTCGGCCTTCCTTCGAAGCAGCCGTCGAAACCCTCGCCAGCATGTGGCGGCCTATGGTGTTCCCGAGCTTTCCGACATAATGGACGATTCCGAGCCCGAAAGTCCAACCGTCGTTCGACAGCCTGTTCTCAAGGCAGAGTCTCGGTCTCCTGCGAAGCGCATTGCGCGTCTTACAACCCCCTTCTCCAAGACGCCTCGCGCAAACCGCTTGACGGAAGGCTTTGTCAAGCTTCTCCCTGCCTCTCGTCGCGGCGTCTTCACCACTCCTCGCAAGAGCCGAAACTCTCCTGTTCCTCAGACCGCCAGCCCAGTCTATGACTTCGCTGTGAACTCGCTGAACTACTCACCCACCGCGTCGGAGGAAGATCTTCCCGGTTCCCCCAAGGAGGGATCACCTGAGCCCACCGGAGACATCACTTCTTCCCCTACTCGAAGCCCTGGCCGTACATTCCGTGTGCCGTCCGAGTTTGACTCCTCCTCAATCAATGGCGACGAGAGTATTCGAGGCCCGCCTTCAACTCCCAACAAGTCGTCTCCGGTCAACTTTTCGCGTCCGATCGCTCCTACTCCCTCTCGCTGGATTCGTGCTGAGCCGACCACTCCCTTTACTCCCATGCCCCAGAGTGCAGCTCCCGCTACTCCTGGCCAGTCTGACTCTCCTATCGGTCTTCACGCTCTTCTTGGTCCCGACACACCCAAGGCTCCTGTCTGCACTTACGAGACTCCTACCGGTATCGACTCTATTGACTTTGGTGGTGCATCTCCCTTCCAGAGCAACGTCTCCTGGATGAACACCTCTTCTCAAGCCAGCGAGGCCCACCGATCTCAAACCGTCAACCACGCACGTCGCCGCCGATCCGAACCTGTTCTCCGAAAGCTACTCGAGACCCAAGCTCGCCGTCGATCAGCTTCCCCTCAAAAGCTTCGATTCAAGTCCGACGATACCTTCCAGGATGTCATCTCTATTGCATCTCTGTTCGACCGCCCTTCTGCCGATGAGACCACTATTCTCGAGACTGCTGAGGATGATACCAATGAGACCGCTTCTTACGAGACTGCCAACGAGATCAGCGCTGTTGAACCTGTCACTACCACTGTTGACGATGCCACTATGGCCGATCCCACTTCTGCTGTTGACACCACTACCGACGAACCCGACGTCCCTGCCCCTGTCATTGACTCTACTGAGATTCACAAGGATGACTCTACTCCTACCGACGACAGTGCTGTCTCTGAGATCGCTCCCGTCGAAGTCATTGATGAGGCCAGTAGCAGTGATCCCACTCCCACTCAGGATGCCGAGATGGAAGGCCCTACTCCCATTGTAACCGCTCAGGAGGTACAAGTCACCGATGCTACACCTATCAACACTACCGATGAAGCCAACATGGTCGACGCTGCTCCTACTGACGACCCCACTGTCTACGATGCTACCATTGACATCGCTACCGCCGAGTCTACCGTTCACACCGACGTCGTTCCTACCCCCATGGAGATTACCATCACTCCCGCAGTCGAGAATACTCCTGCCAAGAACTCTACCGCCCACGTCGAAATGTCAGATGACGACCAACCCGCTGCCAACGAGCAATCTATAGTTGAGATTGACATGCGCGAAAATCCTGACATCTTTGGTGCTCACCCTTCATCACCTCCCGCTCCTATCCAAAACCTTTCACGCATGGCCAATGATGCCTGCGATGGCCTCGCTAAGATCGTGGTCACCGAGGAAAATGGAAGACTCTTCGTCCGATTTAAGTTGCCGGCTCAATATGCTCACATGTTGCCCGCGAGTCAAGGTTTTGAGAACAATGATCTGGCATTCTCTCCATCCGCTATGGCATCTACACCTCGAACAAGCGTCAACACCAACCAAGTTGCTTCGACTGATCTCCCCGCCCAGCACAACCCTTTCTCGCCAATCGTTGCTACACCTTCTCGAGTCTTCTCATTCTCGTCGCCTGTTAACGCAAGCACACCCGAGATGGCCACAGCTGCCGAACGCTCCATCGGAGATCTCCTTCAGACTCCCAACGTCACTGCCTTTGGTACCATCAACGATGCTAGCCCTACCGCATTCCAGACTCCTGAACTGCCTGAGTACAACGACAACACCCTTGTCTTTGGTGAAGCTGCTTCCACCCCTCAGCCTGCCTCCACCAAGCGAACAACTCGTCGACAGTCCGCTATGACTCCTCTCAAGCGAGCTACCACAAACGCTATGACTGCTTCGAAGCTGACTACTCCTGCCAAGACTGTCGAACCTAACCACAATACTCCCAAGTTCGCTACGCCACTGGCTTCCGACCCTGATCAGACTCTTCCCTTGTCTTGGTCTGACGTTGATACGCCTGCCAAATCTCCATCCGATAAGCATGATGCCGCTCCTGTTCAAGATGAGCCTCTTACTTCTGCTTCCGTCAATCATGTCGTCACCTCTACTCCTACTCCCGCTGTCGACGATGCTCCCGCCAAGGATGAGCCCGCCACCATCACTTCTCCTGTTGACACCATTACTATTGCTGCCGCACAGGATCAGCCTACCACCTCTACCCCCGCCGACACGGATGACACCGCTCCCGCACAGGATGAGCGTCTTTCTTCTCCCGCCGAACCAACCATCAATGCTCCCGTTCAGGATGAGCAAGTCAGTTCGCCTACCGCCACCGCCGCAGCCGTCACCACCACCTCTCCTATCACCTCCTCCACCACAACCACCGATGCTCCCGTTCAGGATGAGCAGACAACCGACTCTGTCGATGCTGATCGACAGTGGATGCATGACTTCATCAAGCGGTCCCAAAAGACCACATCGTCAGAGTCAGGTTCTTCCATTCCTCCTTCCGCTGCTACACGCCAGCCTCTCGGGGACCGAAGCCCTAACAGGGGTAGTCCTCTGATGAAGCGCAAGCACGAGGATGGAAGCTTGGGAGATGAGTCTCCTCCCAAGAAGTTGAAGGTCGATGAGCCCAAGGCTGCCGCTGCCCCCAAGAAGGGCAAGCGAACCAGAACAGCCCGACACAAGGCTGAATTGGCTATCGACATGGTCGACACCCCAACTCAGGACACAGAGTTGTCCCCTCCCGCCGACACCAACCCCGCATCCCCTCCCACCACTCGCCGTTCCTCGCGCCTCCGAGGGCAGGACAACATCACCGCCACACCCAAGTCCTCGCTCCCCACTCCCATCAAGCTCAACCGAGCGGGTGCCGGTCGTGGCATGGCCAAGAAGCCACGCACCGAGGAGCAGGAGTGGGATCGCAAGACGCGATCCAACACCAAGAAGAACATGGGTGACGCTGAGACTCCCGCCGAGACCCTGACTAGACTTAAGGGTCAGGTCGAGGAAGACTCAGACGTGAGTGAAGGATCGGCCGGCGGGCGACGCGTGGGGTGGAAGGACCCCTTGGAGAAGATCCAGGGGTCAACCCCCAAGAAGGGACGGGCCGCACCCAAGGCCAAGGCCACTCAGGGCAACACCGGGGTCTCCAAGGCCCAGTCGACTCCCAAGTCGACAACCAAGACGACACGGGCCGCCAAGGTGGCGGAGGGTTTGGGAATGGTAGCTAATGGCACTCCCGCCAAACCCCAGCGCGTGACACGATCTCGTGCACGCAATGGGGCTTAGGCACCCTCCATCCAAACCACCTTGGTTGGCAGCCCCGGTGTCAAACACCCTGGGCTTTTATTGTTTTGATCGAAGGAAGGAACGCGGCGCCAGGAGGCGCATAAGGACAAGTCTCTGTTTTTGGTGGCGCAGGAAAGCGCCTTTATATATCTTACGAGTCATGACAGCATTGCATCGCTGGGCGTTGGTGGACGCATGATACCACATTTGCTTTTTTGGTGCCTGTTTTCGGCTGGACGACGCAGGCAAGTCCTCGGGATGAGGCATGCCCAGGGAAGGGCATTAGGTCATTGTATGAATACATGTTTAGAGTCTCAACTTTTGTGCCACTGTGACGCCTTGTGATGTGAATTGTGATTTCTGGTTTAATACTTGGGGAGGACTCCCGTTGCTATATAATGGGGAACTAATCGTCTAAGTTGAGATGACAGTATACGTGTTTTGTTGGACTGACATGGCTCCCAGAAGGTTTGGGCGGTCTTCTGAGCTTCTGTCTATAGGCGTCAACAAGCGTTTGAAGGCTCAGGTGAAGGGGGAAGGGTCTCATCTAGTGCGCCGTAGATTCGCTTCTGAGATGCGTTCTGCGGCTACCTGCTTCACGTATACTATCCATTGTAGCGCATTACTCCGATGATGCGATACAGTACACAACCGCAGTCGGGCAGTAACGGCTATATATATAACACGTTCGCGTATCTTGATGCTAGGTCAATCCTGCGAGGCGACTTGATGGGTCTGAGGGTTCGAAAAGTAGCTCCAGCTTGCTGTTTCGACGCTGGTCGCAGCACCGTCCGATACCATGCCAGAGCTAGGTCTAGGAGGAATACAAGATCCCAAGATTTCTGTACCGTTCTTGTTATCCATGTTGAACCACTTGGTGATTGAGGTTGTGTAAGTATTCAGTGGGAGAGCACGGCGCGACGAGCTCGCGGTCTTGTCTGTGGGACTATCGGTTCGCTTTATTCTCCGGGACACAACCGCCGTGTGCATGTTCGCGGAGTCATATGTTCCTTGATCGTGTTGTATTCTGTAAAGGAAGTGTGGGACTAAGCCATGGAGAGTACACACTCAACAGACCTTTTTTGTCGTATACCGCGAACATTAACGGGATACTGTGTGCCGAGGGTGGTTGATGGCCTTGATACAGGGCATCATAGCGCAGAGTAACTGCGAAATTGAGTCCAACAAAAGCAACAACAACTATAACAACAACTCGGCGGTGGCGGCACCACCAACTCGAACGGAAGGACAGCACAACTGACAGTCCAAACAAGAGATGAGGCTGTTGATCGGTCAAGGGATAGCATAGTCCCACAAATGAGAGTATGAGTAAGATGTGGAGGGGCAGTAGCCCCTTATCCTGGCACGATATGTGCCATGGTAGACATGGTAGATTCTCTGCTATCATGAAATTGCTGAATGCTGGGTAGATTAGACCGGTTGCGACGAAGCCATTTGGGGGTCAACAACGGACATAACGTCGACAACTGACAGAACAGGCGGACGACGCTCCTCAGGTGAGGCAGGTGTGTCAGAAGACACATGATCCTTTTGGGTGTTGATGATGGTAACGCGGCTTCAACAATTCCCAAGAAAGCGAAGTTTGAAGCGGCTTGGTTTCCAGAGAATCGTTGAAGGCCTTCGTCAGTGAGCAGAAGTGCTACCAACGCAAAGAATGCCCAGCAATAGGGAGAATATGACGATGGCCATAGCCAGTATTGAGAGTTTTATGGTCGTCGACCATCTTCCTGGTTAACTTTCAGTATCTTATAGCTACCCAGCCTATATGCTCATCTGGACTCGTTTGTGCCTCGGTCCTCGGCACTTCCAGGTATACCGGTCTTCTGGCAAACAACACCCTGCTAAAACCAATCCAGAGGATGAGCATTAAAAGGACTGCCATATCGATGTTGTGTTCGTCCAAGAGGGTGCCCGAGAGACATAGAGCCTCGATGCCTTCTGTGAGATGCATCTTGGTGGTTGTTCGAGGGATGCGGTTTTGATGTCGATGGAAGGAAGAGAAACAGACTGGGAGCAATCAGGGAGGGAAGAGCCTTTATATACCTTGATCCAAACCTTGAATCTAGGCAGAGCAAAAGGAAGGTTTCGTGGAAGCATCTTGCTGCCTCCAAGGCGTAGGTTTGTTGAAAACTTTGACGATCATGCTCAGAGATGAGTTACTCATGCAAAACTATATGATCATTCGTTTCAACAGAGTCTGGCGCGCTGTGTTATGCGATTCGTACCAGTTTATTGAGAGTTATTGCATTCATGACTCTATTGCTGATATGGACAATGTGATGAGTCCTTCTCGGCGATAGCTTCCTTTTCCTAGTCGAGGTTGCTGAACTCACGCTCCTGGTCGACAGACGTCTAAGTTTTTTATCTATGGATTACACTTTGTGCGTAAGTAGGCTGTGCTTTATCTCTTGAACCAAGTTTAACATCCTTGGCTGCTCCTTTCTCCCTGTCTTAACACATTCGCCTTGCCTTGATGATATATCGGGCGCAGTGTTTCTGGAGAGCCTGTCGCCAACTCTACGGATGGCATTGGAATGAGCAATTACTTTGCAGGATTGTGACATATATTGCAATAGGCATTAGGGACGAATAGTAGCTTCGAAATTACGTGAGTGATGACCGTCATTCGTCCTGCTCATGGTCGCTCAAGATGGTAAACAACATATGGCTTCAACCTCTATACATCTATCCATGAAGTACCTTCTTGTACGACTACACACAGACCTAATCAAGCTACCTTCAATCATGGCTGCACAGATCATCAGATCTTGGGAAGTGTTTCCGGTTTGTGATGTTCAAGTCCAGCAGTGACATTGCTTGGCAATTGAGCCCTCACAGCTGGGACACATACTAAAACCCATTGCTCAAGATTAGAGACCAATGACCCCCTATCTCTACGTGCTGCATTCTGACTTGGATCGTTCGTTCAGAGTCACTAATTACCGACAGGGAGGTTCTATGCAAGCTCTATGCAATCGTTCGGCCGACATTGTCAGTCAACGTTACTCTCGAGTCAGCCTCAAGCCTACGTCACATATGATAGGCGTACACGTTTTACAGGTCTACTTTCACTTGTATAACAAGAAATCAACGTCTCTATCAATGAAATGTACGATGTCGGCCGAACCCAGGAACGTTCCCATAGACAACTTCATACTGTCTCAAAATACTTGCAATACTAGTAACGTTGTAACAAGCCAGTGGCAACTCACTTCCCTTACAGCATCCAAGTTCAATTGCCAACTCTTTGTAACCTCTTAGTCAATGCCTGAATTCCTTGAGTCCAAGAAAGCCTCGGTCTTGTATTGCCGTCTTGGTATTGCCATGGCAATAACATCGGGGACCTCAACCAAGCCACATACTCCATATAACAGGGAAAAGGATCATGGATTACTTATCATTGACTGACCGCAAAGATGCTACCTATCTTGGCGACGGAATTATCAGAAACACTCTTAAGTCCGTTACAACGACTGTAAACACCCAAGACCAAGACACCCACCCTCGATACAACACACAAACGTGCTGCATATGCATCCAACATCCCATATGGGCGTCCGTGTATTTGACTGTTATCCCACTTACTTTTCCTCATATCGTAGATTATGCCTAATTCCTGAAACACCTGCATAAAGTAGAGCGATTGGTCTTGTTTCTCATGCGCTCTGCTCACAAACATGGGATTCTTGTAATCTCGCATTCTTCATCTTCTAACAGGACAGAATGCGTGCGGGGCCCCTTGGACGATTAGTGCTTACTCTCTTCCTCCCCCATGTCCAAGAGCCGCGACAACACTTCCCACTTCAGCTGTGTCGTGGAAAGAGCTCTCATTGCTCAGTTACTTGGGGAGGGTATCGTGACGGCTCTTCAATGGCCGAGGAAATCGAGATGCATCCTTGTCAGATCTCCGAAGAATTACGGCATCAATTCTCCTACGGTGTTTTTCTATTTTGTTTTCCTAGTGTTCATGTAAGACGGTGATGACTCGCGATTCGGACCCGAAACTCGCTACTCTTGACCGTAGGAGCGCGAGTCAAACATTAGGATCAAATCCTAGTGCTATAAGCCTTTTGATCCACTGTTGTGAGAAGCGGTATTTGACATTACCTCCGTCTAGGTGATGACTGCAGTGAGAGGGAGTGACATGCATCAATACCACTAGCCGTGCCGCTAAGTACCTGAATCCTGCCTGTGAATGCCGCTTCAATAACGTCATGTTGTGTGTTTTGAAAGTGAAGTTCGGACTCGGTAGAGTGCACTCCACAACATGATTATAGGGCTGACATGAGCCAACTCGTGACTGAACAACGTCTTGAATCAAGCGGTGTATCGATTGATTGGTGATAGTGGCTGTCATAATGGTAGCTGTGATGGTACCACAAACACCAACCAGCCCATCGGGTGATATATGCGGAGCCAATGACATAACAACCACCACATATGCACCTTCAACAACCGTGTATTGTCAACAAAGATGCTTAATCAACAAGGAATTTCCTGATGAAACCGAGTTTCATCGTCCGAGTAAGACGGCAATGCCGGTGATCAACCAACATCAACATCTCTTCCACAGAAACTTCCACGCTATCATCGCAAAAAGCAAGGGTCCAACACTTGCTCGTGGGTTGGGGTTGCAACGCCGTGGATTCATCCGCGCGGTGACCTTTCCCTTTGTGGTCGTTTAGCCCAGAGATGTCAAGCCTCTCGTGCCATGGTCCAGTGTCAGACTGACAAGTACCATTCTCCAGGGGGTGTGTGAGCCCAAGCTCGGATCGTTCACGCCCCTTGGAACAAACTAACTTTGTAGTAGGGCTGACAAAGAAAAGGGTAGATCGGACTACTATCAGGTTAAACGGCGCGCAAACGGTTGAGTGTCATTGCATCTTTGTTCCTCAAATGGTAACCAATGCGTTGACAACTCCCTACTCCCAAACCAATAAGGACATCACGGCTCATGCACTTGCCGATGAAGCACACTGCGGGAAGATAGGCAGTCTAGTTACGGAGACTAGAACAAAACAGTCTGCACAAGCAGTGTTAGCTGTCAATCTTATGACCCGCTGTCACCTCCAAAGGGGGTATCAAGATGCGAAGAGACTCCCCGGCGTCATAGAAGCATCTGCCGAGAGAGAAAGGAAGCTATGACCACTTTAGAAAACCTTCTCTCTGTCATGGATGTTTGCAAGGCTACTATGCAGAACATGCTCCATACAAAAATACATGGTCAGAAGGCTGAGAGGTGCTGGTAAGACGAGTGTATACCCCAAAAGGCAATCGCCGAAAAAGGCCGTAAGCAGAAATCTGCCAAGAAACAAACGACTGAGATCAAATCATCAATTCCGCCGTTTCACAAGTCAAGTTTGATGCATCAGACGCTATGATATGTTGGTTGTGATACAGGCTCACCTTTACAAAAGTGTGGCCGATCAGGTGGGTGACAGAAGAATTGTCCTCTAAGACTGAGGTTGTCAAAATAAAATAGCCTAAGAATAAGTCTAAGCTGGCATAAGGTGGCTAAATTATTTCGTCTCTTATGCCTCTAGCGGTCATTTATTCTGACACTCTGAGGCCGATCTGCTTTGAGAACTCTCCGAGGCAGGGTGTTCCATGTATAGCGTGCTGACTGGCTTACTACCAACAAGAACAAGCCCAATGGAAGCGGAGAAACAGAAAAACTAAACTTACAGTCGTTCAAAACTGCAACTGGGCGTATGCGAGTTGCGTATAATCTCTCGTTTCAACCCCGTCTATTGATGTTATCATCTTGCGATTCTGCTATTGGTCCATGAACGGGTCAGCCCTACCAGTGGCTGTGTCAAAAACACCATACATAGCGGGTCGGGGAACGTAGATCCATAGGGCTTATCACAATAGTTAGTCCGAAGGCGCTCGTAAGAAGGAATGCGCTCAAGGCTGTAATGTAAGGCTCTTGACTCAAGGTGTCATGTTATTTGCTGCGGCGTTGCGTTGGGATCTGAAGTGATACGATCCTTCTAGTGCTGATGCTTTCGACTCGGACTTTGAAGTCTCGCATTCTTGATCCGTACCCTATGAGCTTGAAGCTCCCCCCATCGGACTTGACACACCCCAGGAACCGTCATCCATCATCCCGTCTCTCTCAACATGGAGCCCGACGCTCCCGGCCTTTCTTCCTTTCCACAAGCAAGAGCACGTCTTACACACCCCCATAAGCCCTAGAGCCTGCCTTACCCCGCCGGCTTTTGATCCTTCTGTTCTCTCAATGGCTCGCTCGCTAATGTATCGACGTCGAAAATTTGCTGCTGCCGAGGCATAATGTAACAGAAAAGGTGTAAAATGCAACAGAACGAGTCTTCTCGACAGAGTAAAGTTTCCCATGGGCGGATCCGTCGTTGGAACAAGATACGGAGTCCTGTGGGGCCTCCGGACATGTCACTCGGAGGCCCGCGGTGTAATCACGGATCGGTAGTGTTCTTTCATCGGCGTTTTAACGCGGTCATGAAACTTGGGTACTGTAACAGCAGTAACTTCCGTTGCCCCTCGGACATGCTTCATCCTCACAGGTTCCCACTCCGTGGCGCTGACCCGGGCGGCATTCGGATTCCCATGCTCTGACCCGTCGGCCGCTTGATCTCAGTGTCTACCCTCGCTTTCTGCAGCGAGAACGCAGGCGTCACCCATCCTCCGCATGAACATCGGAAGCCCTTCCAGTCATACCTACCCACTCCAGCACCGCATTTCTCATTCGGACACAGGATTCGACCGTTTAGCTCTCCTTGCTCTAGAACTCCTCGCATCCAACTTAGGGGTTCAACAAAGTAATGCTGGCACGTAGACGCAGAGGATTTCTTATCCGAAGCCTTGTGCTCCTGGATAAACGGCGCTGTTACGAGTGTTCGACGGCACTTCTTGCATCGTAAACTAAGACCAGAGTCATCGCGAGGCTGCACCTCTTCATCCTCGAAGCGGAGCCTCGTCGGTGCCTGACCTACAGCAAGGTTCTCATCAATCTCGCGCTTGTAAGCCCAGCGCTGATAAACAGGATGCGACTCAACCTCATCGGGACAACCCATCTCCCACCAAAGAGCCAACTGCTCCATGAAGCCCTCGTTGGGTTCCGCCATGGGGCGTGTTCGACGTATCCAAGTAAGGGCAGCATGGACGGCTTCTTGCGCGGTATCTTTTCTCGAACGATTTTCTGTTTCTGCTGACGTAGAGTGGGCCGGATCCGAGATGGCAGTAGGGGTGATGTTGGGGTCGAAGCGGCCGGGATATCGACGAAGCAAGTAAGCAATAACAGCCGAAACAGACCTTGACTTTCCAGCAGCGCAATGCACGAAAACACCTCCCTTCTTCTTCCTCTTCTTGTCCGAGATATCAAGGTCCTCGACGCCCTTTTCTAACGGTACACCCCCATCCTCTTCTTTCTCTTTCTCCGCATCATCATGCTCCAGATAGTTCGCACCAAGACCCTCCTCGATGAATCTGACAGCTTTAGGAAGCTCGATCAGCAGATCAGCATCATCCACGTCGTCAATGTCGATAAGCTGGTGACGAAAGTCCTTTCCGTAATCGATCCACGGTTCGTCCTTGAAGTTCTTGAGACTTGATATGTCAAAGGGCACGAGAGAGAGAACGTGTGTTATGCGACGATCGGTCAGCGAGTCGGAGCGGCGCAAAGCCCAAAGACTGTAGAAACACAAATTAGCTATTGCATATGCGTAAATCGGTCGAGTGGCGTCTCACCCTCCAACGAATAGCTCATCCTGGCCGTCGATCCTGCTGAGCGCCATTTGCACGATACTTTGCTTGAGAAGCTCAAGTTCTTGAGGGTCAAATCGGTGACCAAATTCCTCCCACAGCTGTGGCTTCGAGTCGTCCTCGTGATGTTCTTGTCGCCCAATCTCTGTGGAATTGTTGGACTCTGCCAGGATGAATGTTTGTTTGTCGCAAGTTCAAATTTTCGGCCCCCAAAAAGATGTCAGATTCGTAAATCCCACTTGCCACTTCCAGAAGCTCGTATTTATAGAAACAATCAGATCAAGCGAAGAAAAAGAAAAAAGGAAAATCGTCCAGAAAAAGGAATAAAAATTAAGCTTCAATCTTCGGTGTGAATCATGACCTTTCCCATTTGCCCCTCCTTCAACCGCCACATTAAACTACCCCGCCATCGTGCACCGCCACGTCACCGTCAGTCTCTCAATTCATCAGCCACATCTAAACATTCATGCTCTTTTCGCAACAGCCATTGTCTCATCTATTTCCATCGCAAACAAGTGAAGCTTCTACACCATCCCCAGTAAAGTAACGCCTCCAAAAACACCCTACTCTCAAAAAGGCAATTCAAAAAGCTACCCACGTGACAGCCCACTCCCGTCTCCATGTAGATTTTTATTTCCGAGACCAGACCAGACCACCAGCTGAACAGCCAGCTGAACAGCCAGCTGAAAAGAAATGTCATGATCTTGCTTGCACGAGTTACCCAAACGGGAGTTGCGCTTGAATTCCGCTTTGAAAAGGAGAAAGGACAGTTTTAAGTTTGCCGACGCCCGAGGCAGTGGTTCGCAAATGTTGAAATGACACTCGTAAATCCTCCCAACTAAGCCTTACGGTGAAGTGGAGGATGAGTCCCTGCAACGGCTGCATCCTCAGGTTTGGGAACGGCTAGGTACGTCACATCGGCAAAGTTTCGAGAGACATGAGGTATTTCAAGTCACATCGGCAGATTGAAAATGAAGTATCTAAAGTCAAGAGTAGAGAGAGACGAGGTATTTGAAGTGAAGTGCAATTTTTATCTTCTCAGACTGCTATATATCTATGTTATAAGCCTGGTGTACCTATTCGCTTTCATAAAAAAGCAATGCCAATATTCGCGCCGTTACCCTGTGTGATTGATCCTTTTTGTGCCGTTACCCATAAGATAAGATAGAGATGCATGCGACACCAGCATCAAGCTGTGTCAGCTAATATGTATACGAAGTGAAGCCCATGTCCACCGTTCCCAGGCAACAGAAAGTGAAGCCCTTGTCCTCCCAGCCCTGTCCTCCTAACAGTCGGGGGACCATTAGCTAGGCTTTCTTTTTTAAAATGTCCCAAGTATGTACTCCTTCCTTTATCAAATTCCGGCAGTCGTGTAGCTTCATCCTTCTGACAGGGATTCCAAGCCCAGTAAGAAAGTAGCGCCGCATGGCCCCAGGCCTTGCGTCTTGCCTTGTGTATATTCCTCATCAAACTCATTTTTGCAGTCCTTGATCCTGTCGGGCCGGAGGCTGTTGAAAAAAACGCCAAGCTGGAAGATATTGGTTTCATGTCGGATCAAACGTTAAAAAAGGTGCAGAGATGCAACGCAGCAAGCCAAGGTAGCATCTGTCCGACAGCACTGCCACAGTGGTGCTTCAGCCCTGAAAGGCAATCCCTGGGCGCGGATAACCGCATCCCTACATGCGTAAAGGTCTGCACGCACGCGGAAAGCACCAATTGATCCGAGCGATCAACGGACGCAGTTGAGCGGCACCTTGATTCGTTTTGGACTTGCCGCATCCTGCATCATGCGGCAATCCGCCCACGCGATACAGAGTTTTCTCCGCGTCTGTCGTATGTGCCTCGCCTCGCTGTTTGGATGGATTTTCACCCACTTGCGGGCGGTTGGCGTCGCACAGTTGCCGATGGCTTTGTTGTTTCGAGACCTTCCCAACGGCATGCTGATTGCAGCACGCAGATCACTTCACTTGGTCTTGAAAATCCAAGGTCAGAATCGCTGATCTTCCAATAGAACCTGGACCCCACTGATCCTTTCGGCGCCGGCGGTTTCCCTTTGGTACCCCGCCCTCATCCGCCTGATCCTCCACCCATCTTCAGAAGCCAAACACCCACAAAACACTTAGCCGTGACTCGTCATCTTTAGCGGCCGACTGGCATGTCTTCCTTCGCTGGGATTAACCAAGAGAGACATTACATTTCGTATGTTTATTGTGCAGTGTCGCTTCGGGGTTGGATAGTGCGTTTACCGAGGTGTTGGGTCCTCTTCGAGCATGCAAGCATTCTCTAGCATGTTGGTCCACTTTCCACTGGTGCCCGCGTGGCTGTGTTTGAGATGCTGTCTGAAGTGATCCGCTCTGAAGAACTTTTTGGACGAGTTGCACTCTCTGAACTTGTGCACCTCTTGCAGATGCCTAATGCGTTCATCCCAGTCCTGTTCCGTGGCGTGTCGAGGCGCATTACCACCGTTCAAGGCACCAGTACCTGGTCCACGTCCAGATCGTGTAAACTCATCACCGCAGTAGCCGCAGGTGTCAGCTTCACCAGGTCGGTTAGTAGAATCGTGAAAAGCCCTATCGTATCCAGACAGAGCTGAGCATGACCACGAATGGCGGCGCACGTGTAGAGAGTTCTGGTGGCGCTCAGCCTCGTTCTTGTTCTTGAAGCGGTTGCCGCAGAATGAACATTCGTATTGCTTTTCAGCCTCGTGAGCACTAAATTGATGTCAGCTTCGGGTTCGTACAAGTAAACGTCTCACGCAGTGGGTCTGCGGAGATTGAGATGAGATCTAACTTACTTGAGTTCCTCAAGCGTCTCGAACCTCTTGGGCTTCTTGGGGCAGCACTCGCACATGAAAAAGCCTTGGACCTTGGATCCGCCTGGCTTTTGCACTTCGGTAATCTTACGTGTGCTGGCACCCGAGACAGTCCTAGAGTGGATTGAACCCCGGCCAGAAATGGAGGTTCGAGGGCTTGGGTTGAGAGAGACGGGAGCTGTGTAAGGCGAGTTGCAAGATGTGGGTGAGATGCCGCCAGGTGAGGGGCCCACTGGTGAACGTCGGCCGAAAGAGTTGGCAGTTGTGATGCTTGCAGGGTGCATTGACATGGACATGGTCGAGATGTATGAGTTTGATCGCGAGGTAGGCACTGATGGCATGGTAGCACCTCGAGGAAGACTGGTAAAGCGACCTTGGGGAGATCCACGTCGGTTAATAGCAAGAAGGTGCTCGTCATTGGGACTGGCAGCCCTTCTCTTTTGTCCACCAGGCACATAAGCATCGTCAATATGCAGTCTCTTTAGCGATTGTCCATCTTCCATATCCATATCTTCTGCGCCGGTAAACTCATAGCTGTTTGTTGAGGTGGCATCATCACTGTTATTCCTCTTTGATCGTGTTCGTGGTGAGCGATCGATATCGGAGCTGTCATTTGGTGATCGGTCTCCATGGAAGAAAGGTGTGCTTCGGGGTGAGATGGCAGAGTGGATTGGCGTATCAGTCAACCTTGCGGGAGAGGCTAGTAGACCACCACGGGGGTGAATGGGCAATTGCGTGGGAACACTAAGCGCGGGAGGGAATCGACCTTCACCAGAGGATCTTCGGAATAGGAGCTCGTTGGCTCCAGAGCTGAGAAGGGATCGTGGTGGTGACTTTTCTGAAGGTCGAGTTGAATCAAGCTTCTTCTTGAGGACATCGACATCTTGTTGGGCTGGTGATTGGAATTGGTAGTGGTTATGGTGGAGGCCAAAGCCTGTGGGAACGGACTCGCGGGACCTGTGGATCATGTTAGTTTCCATTCATCCAACGTGTTAGTCAAGCCATTGGAGGCCTAAACCAAGCCAATGCTTGTCGTACCTATCAGTTGAGGAGTAACTGGCATAACCCTCATCTCTATCGCTTGTATTGCTTCTTCGTTGATAACTTGGGCGGTCTTCGTGATATGATGAGTTCATGCTTCCGTAACCACTTGCAAAAGAACCTTGGGCGTATTCCCGCTTTTCTCTCATGTTCTCAGCCAAAGCGCTAGGTTGGTCGTGAAGATATTTGGGAGGAGGTAGTGGAGGAGGAACGTCGTCTCTTGTTTGCATGCCAGGTATTGACATGGCAGGACTTCTACCGTAAGGCAATTCGTGATGACTCGCGTGCGTTCTATATCGATCGCCTGTGGCAGGGACTATGATGCTCGGGAGAGCCGGACCGGGCTCTCTATAACTGGGAGGAAAGGCCATGTTGTTGTTGATTTTTTTCGCTTGGCGGTTTTGTGCACAACTCGAGCTGAAGATGGAGCAAAGAGGCAAAGCAATGGCAGCTGAACGTTCGGGGGAGGTTGGAGCTAGGATGTCATAGGACCGAAACCTATTCCGTCATAGAATCGACGGTCGTGCAGTGAGAAATCGGTTTCCCAGTGGACTTGTGCTGTTGTATATTTTTAGAGGTTGCCTCCTGATTCTTGTCCTCAATTCAATTCGACTCGTTTGGTGCTAAGACAATACGGGGTGATGTGTGGTGCTGAAAGTGTGGTGCTGAAAGTGTGGTGCTGAAAGTGTGGTGCTGAAAGTGTGGCGATGATGGCTTTCTCGGCAGCACCGAAGATGCTGGTGCAGCTGGGGCAGGAAGTTTGACGAATGACAGAGCGTATCGGGTGTATGTGAGATATGTGTGTATTGAGGCGTTGTTCTTGGTTGGTTAATTATATTGAAGATTGGACCGAGAAAGAGAACAAAACAAAACTGTGAGATGGGAAGAAAGAAAACGGATTGGAATATGGTATGGGGATGTGGTATAGAAGAATGAGAACGGGAAGGTGAGGTAAGTGGGTGCAAGGGCGGTTAAAGTTCAGTTCACCTTCTTCAGTTGATCCTCAGGTTAATGATCCCGCCCGCAGTGCGTTGACGTTTACGCTGGGCTCTCCATCCTCGCTGGGCTGTCTGTCCGCTGTCACACCCTTCTGTTCCTGGGCTGGGCTTTCGGCAAGCGCTGCTGGGACCCCTTGTAGATTGAATTACCTACGCCCTACAGTACGTACAGGGGTGAGTTCTAGGGAGGGGAGGGGGGGAGTGAGTGAAGAACGGGCCTTATGGGGCAACTTCAAGGGCTGAGAACGGGAGACGACAGGACAGCGACTGGACAGGCCCAGCTCCGAAGACTGAGACAAGGAAATGTGGCGGTAAAAAAAAAATGACGAGAAATGCTAATCATTAGCACGCGAGTCTTGTGATTATTTTACTATTATTTTTGTTTTGGCGATGGAAGTGCAGTGAGATTCTTACATAGGTCATCTAAAACGGGTAATAAAATGTGTCGGAGGGAGGAAAGATACAAGCTGAAGATGAATGAGAATGTGTCAATCGAGACTGACTAGGGGGAGTGAATATCTGCCGATAGAGGGGTGTGTAGTATACTCGCCAACGATATCGATGGAAAGTTCACTGTCTGTCAGTCAGTCACCAGATGTAGTTTACATATCCGTCCGTTCCTTGTAGCCGTAGCATCGCATCAGTGCTCAACGTATACTGACCATGTGTTCTCTATAGTAGAGTTAATCAAGATCATGATGCACCTCCACTTAAAACGCTCTTACATAAAACGCCGTATTACGCTCATCAGGTGGAATCTCCGGATCTCAATCTCACGTCTGTCTCGCATTCTCCATTGCTTACAACAGTAAAAGAGCGAGAGGCAGATCGATGGGGGTGCGGTATCAATCCGCTGCTGTATCCACCATGCTCCGGTGAGCTGCCCTACGGACTTTGCTTTTCTCCATGGAGATGGGGCCTTCCTTGCCCGGCCACCTCAGCCTGGGCTGGGAAGAAAGCCTGTAGCAGCCCTGGAAGGCTGTGGGTGTGTAAAAGAGACTCGAAGCATGGGGGTCAACGTTAGCTCCTACGCGGGGAGGGGAGGGGTGTAGGGCTCTTTGATGCCTCGAGGGTGTTTTATTCTAGGGGTTACGAGATCTTTGACCAACAAGTGCACATCTGCCTTGACAAGCACGCACACTAGCATCAGACTTCATTACTGAACAATAGATCGGTAACGTATTACGCAGATATTGTTACTTTGCTGTCCCATTTCCAGGGACGCCTTTCACAAATACAACGCTGGAGAGTAACAGGCCTCTTCCCTGCTTGTTGCTTGCTGCCACTGCAGCTCTCACTGGTCGACTCTGTTCCCGTCCGCCTTCCCGCTGCTATTCCAGTCCTATCCGAAACCCACCAACAAGTCCAACCAACACTTTCACAAATTCCATGCCTCTTCTCCAACAACAGGGCGGATGTCCGCCTGAGTTGCTAAGCCTTATCAATCCTGTATGTTCCAGAGCGGCAATCGTAACTTCCGTGATCGCCAATTATGTTATACGTAACCTCATACGCGCTGTATTGTGGCTTTGTCTTTTGTTAATACTACTAATGCCTCCTCGTCATTTTATGGGTGTTTTCCCCTTACCCATGCGCGCCACACGGGGTCATTCTTAGAGCCCGAAACCCAATTTGGTGCTATTTTCTTGTTTGAGTTAGGTGATCAGTCAAACGGTCGTGGGTTGACTTTGACTCTAAGAGGGAAACTTTTCCACCCAATGGTTTATCTTCCAAGGCTTGGACTGTCAAAATAAAGTCGCCTACACACCCCTGTGGACTGGTGCAAGATTTCTGACACCCCGATTGACATTCCAATGCCAAGAGTTGTATTGGCTTGGTTAACCTAGAACGTGAAATGAGGCTCAGCGGTGAGTAAACATTTCATTTCTCATTCCTTGGTCAGCTCCTTGGCTATTGCAGAGTCAATTGTATTATGACTCGAATACTCTGATTCAATGATCAACGTTTGCAATTATTACTGTCGCCCCATATCTCGTGCAACCTGCCAAACACAGTAGCAGCTAAAATGTCGCTGTCTGGGTTTCACTGGATTGAATGTCATCCCCCATGTTATATTGCTGTTTGCGGGTTTTATTTTTCTTTTTGATATGTCACCAGCACGGCACCATACCGCCATCGGAAATAACAAATGATTCTTGCAGCTGTTTTCTCGGGCAATTACATTTGTGAGTTTCAAGAGTCCGTCCCCCCGGAGATCTGGGATTGTAACTAGAGGGACCCTCTTTTGAAGCACATCGCCCTCAATAGGGATCGCCTGACGAGTATGTTTGGGTCTGGTCAGGAATAGGCAATGCTCGCGACATGCGTCAGTCAGAGCGGGATGTGAATCATTTGTCTCTGTTTGGTAGGTTTACGAGTTTCCCAGGCTTGTGGCGCTGCCTGTCAAGATGCTTCCAGCCCTAGCTAGTTCTTTCAAGCTTGGACTCGCATCCTGAAGGATTCTTTTTACAGTACAACCTCTAAGCGAGCCACTTTTGTCATAGTATCAGTGACTTGTCATCCATTCAACGAAATGCAAATACCAGATCTTGACTTGGCTTTACTCTTGACTCTCAATAATTGATCTGAACTATTTACTTAACTAGCTAGTAAAACCCCAGACCGGCGGGTTCCGCCCGAAGCTTGAGCAGGTTAATTCAGTTGCCTAATGATTGAGAACGGAGCAGCTAACTCTTGTTAGTGCTGCTGGTTTCAGCATGTTGCTCCTCCAGGATTCGAGAATTCCGCTTTATCACGGACGGTATCAATTCCTAGCGTCTGCGCCAGGAGCACCGTGACCGTCCTGATCCTTGCACCCGACGGCATAGCGCGTTTAGATACGACACACTTTGATGAACCGACTTTATGAGCATGAGCCCAGCGGTGATGCCTTACAGGGAGAGGGAGAGGGAGAGTGAAACCAGCCTGTCGGGCCATCATGTCATGTCACCGATATATGGAGTCATTTCGTCACCGACGACACCTTTCGATCAACATGTCACCGAAACAAGAGATCACCACTGCTGGTCCTACCTCGTGTAATTCACAATTTCACAGCATACAGTACAGTACTGGTATTCTGATGATTACAAGATGATTACCAACCCGGCACATGGCAGATCAATCTCTAGAAGGTAACAAACGGCAAACTCCGTTGAACTAAGCCCTACAGGCCTCAACCTCGTTCTGCATCCTGAGTCGTGGACTCGTGCCGACTGAGCAAATTTTAGGTTCTGGGCCAAGTGGAGACATCCAAGACCGTGGCTTGACTTTACTCCGTATGCGCCACACCTTTTCTTTCGGGCCTCGGCCGGGGCGTGTGAAGGAGGTTTAGCCTGCGAGGGAAGGAGTCCTCTCAGCCCTATAAAATAGATGCAGCCTGGTCTTGGCATTTTGATTTGAATTGCCTGCCCAGTCTTAGGGCTGGCGTTTCTGGTGGTGTGGTGAGATTACAGTACTGTATCTCATAACATACGTCACAGGACGGCAAATCCTGATACAAACAGTTCCCATTTATATCTCAATGTATTTCTTCATGTTTCGAACAGAGAGCAACGTTACAATTAAGAGTCTTCAGATAATTACATGCATCTGCCGAAGACGTGGAGAAAAAGACAAGACGCTCGGTGCAGGTATCTCCAAATCTAGCTATGATCAGACGTCAAAGCCCCCCTCTTGCGTATCAGAAAAGGAAATGAGACCTTGAGAAATGTATGTAATAATTCCGCCGTGGGCCATAGGGCTTTGGCTTTGGCTTGCTCGGTCCAGTCCATGTCCCCGATGGAGGGTCAAGTTATGCCCAAAACTGCAACGCTTGGCCTACCGAAGTTACCGGTCCTTGTCCTTGTGCCACACTTTCTTGTTGGTGGTCCCGGGATGGCTATTCGGCAGTTCGGTACCTGCTTCTTTTGTGCTTCCATGGCATCTTCTACCTACCACCCATCCTGACACAGCATCTTTACAGTTGACTGTCAACCATTACTCGTCGTCATTGTCGTCGTCATTTTGCTCAGCCCAGTGAAGACGTATTCTTCCCTCGTGTACAGTATTGTATGTGTCGACCCGACAATCCTCCCACTCTCCGCAATTATGTCTCACCCACATCCATCGTAAAGCAAACCATTAAATCTGCAGACTACTGATCATTAGCTCTCCATACCCTCGGGCTCACGGGCTCTATCACCAAAAGGGCAGCCAGCTCGTGCGCACTACCTGCACCTGCAACCTTGGGACCGTAAATCTTCGGCAGATAGTTTTTTTCTCGAACGCGCGGACGTACATACGAGAAAAGTCAACCGCCATGGCATTAGCCGCCGTCTTCTCCTTCGCATCGCATGGTTAATGGCTTGTCCCCTTGACATAAATTTCCTAAC